TGCAGGGTGTTCTTCTTTCCGGTGTTGATTGACACCTTGCCAACACCACGATACAGCACTTGATAGCGCATCCCTAGTCTCAACCAGTTTTTGCCAACCTGGGTTCTATCCACCCAGCTAAGTTTCCCCTCATTTGAACACCCTGATGTCACCCGAGTGGCAGGCTTGTCCAACTGGTGAGAAGTTGAACACCCAGAGTGGTTCAGTGTAGCCAATGCCACCTGCAGCTAAGTTTCCCCTCATTTAAGTGTGTCTCACTTCAACCTCTTCTCCTTCTTCCAGCAGCTCAACACCGTTTTGAGGCTGGGCAAAGCATCCCCAGGCGGAGCCTCAGAAATGTGGTGGAGCAAGAATGCATCATCACCCGCTCAACCCAGGTTCCGCGTCGGCTGGGGGATAGACGACCGGGGTCAGAACCTAGGTGAAACGCTAGCATGCCGGAGATGAACATGAAGGAAAGGTGTGCAATGGAAGAGAGAAAGAAAAACATGACGTATCTGGTTCTGTTTCTTGTTATTCGTCCTTAATTTCCCTTCTGCTTGTTGTTATTCGTCCTTATTTTCCCTGCTGTTTCTTTTGCTCCTCTTTTCTGTGATGTGTAAAACGATCTTTGTCTTTAATGGCCTTGGGATGTGCTAGGTGCTTTTTCTTATTCTTTCCTTGTTCAACGTCGGATCTGACTGGGGGGGTCTGTCCTTGGTCTCCCTTGATATCCTGTTTGAGGAACAAAAAGTGTACAACAGGTGGAAGATTCACACGTTTCAAGTAAAGGGCAAGGTTTATTGACATGATGTTGCGGTGCTAAACGTGCTTGCCTCGTTGAATGCATCATGAGCATCTCTTTATCAGATCAAAAAAATAATCGGATTGATCTGAGGTAGACCAAACAAACATGGATGTGGAAAAGATAGCTTCTAGGCTTGCTGTAGTATGTTGGAAATATATATAGAAAAATAACTCTACATGTTGAAATCATGAAACGCTCCTTCCACACCATCTTGGGGCTTGGGCAGACCCTGCACTGCACCTTTTTCTCGGCTCTGGGTCGATTTCACCACCCCGACCGTCTAACGATCACATCTGCTGGCTCATCCAAAAAAAAGACGGCGCAGTGGTTTGCGCAGACTTTTAAGAATACTCACCAAGAAAGATGATCGTCACTGAAACTGGTGGTCACTCGACCGTTCTCCTCTCCACCAAAAAAAACACACCACCCTTCCTGACATGGTGCGTATCAGGTATCAGAACAAGACTCTCCCGAAACACGCACCTTCGGAAAAAGAAAAAGGCTCCAAGATTTCTCCCTAGTTCATGTGTCATATCTCCGCCGCACCGATCGCACCCTTCCTCGCGCCCTTCCACCGGAGACCGATCAAATCCGGAACCCGGAACCCGGTCCCGACGCGGCACCGATCCACCCGCACGTGCGAACCCGCCGCCACTCCAACGCCGAGCGCGCGGTGGAGCGTCGCACCGAGGCACCTGGGTCGACCGCAGATTCCATGGGTTTTTCTGCTCGGGTCGACCTCAGGTCGACCGCACGTTCTCTCCATCTCTTCCCCAAAACTCTGAGAGTGCTGAAAACCCTGCCTCCGCGGCCATGGCACATTTGACCATCCATGGCGCCGAAAACGATGCCAAATCAGGCCGAGTGGCGCTATCACCTCACGTTCGCTGTTCATCCAGTGGTCTTCATGCAGGGTTGATTACTGAATACTGGGAGAACTTGCCTCTGAAGTAAACTAAACCCAGTAGCTGTAGCTGAATCTGAAGCGGCCCTATAAATTTATTTGAGCTTGATGTCGCCAACGGCCCAACACCCGGAGAATCCGCGCATGAGGCCTCCAAAGCCTAAGCAAAATCCCTCAAAATATTGGACTCGCATCAATACTGCCAAGATTCCCAAAACCTGGGACTCATAATGCTCTCATGAAAAAATCTATACGAATCTCGGCTATCACTAGGAGGGGATTTCTATGGATTTCTAGATCTACACCCGGAATCACCTCAGGAGCCATTGGCTTCCAGGCACCCCAGCACGGCGCCATGCTCGACCTCAAACAGGTCCCACGCAATCGCAAGCACTGCAACGGTGGCGACGGTGGCGTCTTTTTTCGGCCCCAAAAGGCCAGAGGACGAGCCAAGTTTCACAGCGCCCCCAACTTCGGCGCCCCTGGGCACGAGATCTATAAGAAGTGATTGGGGAAGCAGTTCAGAAAACAAAAGGAAAAGGTATTCGGGCAAGCGTGGTTACCACGCCTCTTGTATAAGATGGTAGCGGAATTCGTGAGCGATTCAGAACGATGTTTCATGGATTCTTCTGGATCTCGAAGCAGGAGCCTCAGCGAGTCCTGCCGGTTCTACGCTGCCCCGCCACCGGATCCACATCAACACCAATGACATCGCAACCAGGACCTGTGATTCTTTGGAGGTTGCAAGGGGAACCCTCCTGAGCTCACGAAATCAGAAAGGAGCTCCCTTTTTGGCTCAGTTTGTAATGGTGAACACCTAGAGAAGAGAAGAGCAGGATAGGCACGAAGGAGTATGGGATTGAAAGAGCCTGTATAACCTGGAGATGTACTCAGGAAGATGAGGGATCCACAGCCAGGCGACCATCATTTACATCTTTCAGACTCGACCTTTGGGCGAGCCTCACTCATTGCAGGCTGCAACAGCACTGCTGAGGATAATCCTCGGCATTGACTCTCATCTCCTGCAGTTGAGACCCAGTCCGTTTCGAAGACCTGACATCCTTGGACACTAGCGTTGGCCTCCAACCTACTAGCGATGGCCTTCTCAGATAGCGCACCCCATCCGTGACAGACGATCCCACCAGGGACCCCTCATGACATGTGTGACCGACCGTCGCATGGCGACATGGCTTCGGAACCGAACGAGTCGACGCTCGGCAGCGTCATCCGCAGTGGATGAGCACAGTGGGTGGCACTGAATGATGTGAGTACTCAGTACTCAGATGTACTCGGTGCAATATGCAAGATGACAAATATCTGCAGTGGAAGTGGAACAAAAAAGAACAGAACAGAAGGATTGAGACGACCTATTGAGCCCCAAAAAGGGCACCGAGACCACCGATGACCGTCCTCGCCATAGACGAGGTACTGAAATGCCTCGAGCCCGATGGCTTCACGAGCCGACTCGACGCCCGTCGGCTCGACGGTGGGTGACTCGAGCGAAGCCGGTGGCGCGCGAACGAGTGGCGAAAGAGCACTCTGTGCATCTCAAGAGAACTGCGGAAATCTGGTCACCCAGATAAACCTGGCAACAAAGGCTTCTGGAAAGTTCTTTGATGTTCTTTGTCTGCTTGCGAAATTTCTCTCTCTCTCTCTCTCTCTCCCCTCAAAAAGGGCTGCATCTCCCTGTGTTGGTATACAATGAACCTCCATCGGATCTGCCCAACTGTGGCGATCCGACGGGCGCCCGGGCCTGGCTCGGCTCGGCCGAACCAACCGTCCGACCCGACGGTGCGGTGTCGAACATCGGTGCGGTGGGCTTGGACCGTCCCGGGGACCCCGGGGTCTGACCGGTCCCGCCTTGTTTCCGTAGACCGCATCGACGCGGCAGGCGGGCAAGCTCTTCACCATGAGTTGCTGGAAATGCAACTGACCACCTGAGACCAAGGCGTCTACTTCGATTTCGGACATCGACTTCTGCCAGGGGTTCAACAAGCCATCAGTCTCATCAGTTGAATTCACATCATCATTGCACCTCCTCGGATCCGTTTCGTTCCGACCCCCAACAACACCGTCATCCCCAGCCCACCGCACAGCGATCCGGACCGGTCCCGGTCCCGGGTCCGGGTCGTTCACGTCGTGAGGTCGACCGTCCCAAAGAAACGAAGCTAGAAAATGCTAGAAAGACCGTGAAAAGAAAGCACTTGGGGTCAGGATTTGATCTCCACCCCACTGCGCCAAAGTCCTTTGTGTGTGTGCAAGACAACTCGCGTTCTAGCCGCAATTCTATCCAGGAACGCGGCAATTGTATCCCAGGAGGAAAAAACAAATGAGACGACGCACCTACCAAAAAGGTTCACTGTGAAAGTCCCATGGGTCATTGGGCAGATCTTAGTCACCGTAGCAGTGAATGTGGCAAAGGACTTCCGAAGACCGCTGATACAACTACTATCCATCAGAAATGTTTCTCCGTCCTTGCAGCTTTTCCAGCCAAGGCGCCTTTGTTCTTTGTCTGGGCTTCCTTCAGCAGCTGATTCACCAGCTCCTGACACAGTCTACTTGGTGTGTTCGGTGTTCCTAGGGCCGGATCTCGGGTGGACCTCGGGGGATGATCCGTGCAGAAGTCCCCCGACGAGCGCGGTGGGCAGCTGCGCACTGAGAATGAACAGATCTCTCGATCTCATCGAGATGAGCTCTTGAACCCGACTCCTGGGGGCGCCAATTCTTGCGCCAAATAAAGACCAACCACGACCGGTCGCGCGGTCCAACCGGGTAGACCAACCCGGTCGTTACGACCGGGCGTCCGTTGGTCCTTGAGGCGTTGGACGCTGATCTCTTTCACCACTTCCCCAGACCTCAGACCGGGAGGATGAGAGTAACAAGAAGCGACTAGGTGGTATTAGGTTGGAGGCCATTGCTACTATAGTAGCAAGGACGCTATTAGGTGGAGGCCATTGCTACTAGTAACCGGGAGGATGAGGCCAAAACGGAGAGACCCAAATCGAACCGAACCGACGGACGGGTGGGTGCGGAGGCCCAGGCCCCGGCCGCCGACGGAACAGTCGACCCCTCCCACGACCTCTTGGGGAACCCGGCGTCCAGGCCTTTCTGGGGACGTCATGTTACGGGATGGCCCTTGATAAGCAAAATGAAGGAAACCATCTCCACCCCACACCTCATGCGGGCCAGACTTGGTCAATCCCATGCACTTGTTCCTGGTCTTGTTCATGTCTTCCAAACACCGGCAGATGATCTATAAGATCTATATATGCTGCATATGTATGCAGCATTCAGCTGGCTGTTCTTCTTTTAGCTGAGCTTCTCAAGAACTTTAGCCTTGAAGAATTTCGAAGAGCCTTGCGCCTCTCGCAGTTCGCTCATGGTGGGACTGGACCCGCTCTCATCGAGCTTTCGTTCCTCACAGAACGCTGGACGAAGGAGAAAGGGCAACAGGCGGAACGGAGGACGGCTGGGACGTGCCACGCTGGGGCTTGGCATGGCGACGAAGGCACTACGAGCTGCTCCACTAACCAAATTTCAGTCATTGGGGAAGGACTTGTCTTTTTGCGCCAGCGCTTTGGCGCGACTGGCACAGCGGCTGATCTTTTCCCCAGGAAGCAATTGGTGCGGACCAGCGCTCCGATTGATCAGGGTGGCTCACCTTCTGGTCGGAAAAGCATCCCAAATGCCAACCCGGGGTTTTGAAAGACGCCCAGCATTTGATAGTTGTTGGCTCCAAGATTTTCTCTACACGAAAACCCCAAGCCCCATTTGGAGTGAAGCCCACTTTGGTGAGGTTCCGAGGGAGCCTAACTAGGGGTGCCACCTCGATCAGACCCTTGTCGGACATGTCGGACGTGTCGGCCGGGAGACGGCCCAGCAAACCCTTGGCTTTCAAGTCCGAAACAGACTTAAATCAATGAATGGCTCCTTCTTCAATATACCAGCTTGGATTGAACAGTGGCCCGGTCGGTTCAAAACAATGGATTGTGCGATTGTCCCCCAAGTGACCCAATGGTGATTCCTGGCGCGTCTCCCTGCTTGGCCTGCTTGGTTTGTTGGTTTACGGTTTGGGACAGTAGCGAAGGTCTGCATTGCATCAATTCCCACCAAAACAAACAAAGAAATGTAACTGTATATAACGACTATCAATTAATCTGCTATGAACACTACACTACACCCCCACTCACAACAATCTTGCCGTGAACGCCTATGTGACCACAACAACAACAACAACAACAACAACAACAACAACAGCAGTAGCCACGACCACAACCAGCACCACAAAAAAAGGTATGTATGTGTGTGTGTGTGTAGTCCCACCAAAAGCACCACACATGCTCTGCTTCTCCGAGTGTCCAGGACAATGTTGCTGTGCTGCACGGTGAGCTGTTGGTAGTTCACCACATCTCCATAGCCATCGCATTTCTTGCAAGACACAGTGCCATGGTGACACTTCTTGCAATCCTTCCAGCCCCAGCCCTGCGTGCATCTGGTTGGATCTTCAGGCAGGCTGGCAGGCTCTCAAGAAGGTCCAAAAAAATTGGAAATCCTGGACATCCTATAACCTGACGATCCATTCTTACCGTAAAGAAAAGCGGGGGGGGTGGGGGGTGAATACCACCGAAAGTGAAGAGACAGTGACACACACGATGTCCAGAAGCTTTCTTAGTTTCCTAGGTGTGAAACAGTCATAGTGGTTCCGGACAAATCTGCTACCTTATGGCTCGTTGGGCTTTGTTTCCACGCAGACCAGCGAGCCGAAGAATTGGGCTCTTGCCGAAAGGGCCTTCCACTCGTGGGCCGGACGCTCCACCAGAGCCAGGTGGCCAGAACGTTGAAGAACGTCGTCTCAATGAGCCCAAAAAGGGGGTAGTCAGGGTAGTCAAACACCAATTGAACTCTGGTTGGGGGCGTACAAAGAGGCAACCCCCCTAGCTTTTAGACCTGATCTTCTTGGTGGAATTTTTGGTGAACCCGCACAGTCTTCGACCGGAGCTCTCCCGTGGTAATCTGTTTTGCTTCATCGCCGGGGTTTGTGTCCACCGTTCGCTGTCGCCACTCACACACCTCGATCCGAGACCTTCCCCGGTGCCTCACAAAGCCGGCAGGACACGAAGCCAGTGCTTCGGCAATGGTCGCAGTGGTCGATGGTTTCCGACGCAGGGCGGCCCTTGCCTTTGCCTTTGGTATCCTCGGTGAAGGAAACAGTGACTCAGCAGGGTCCAAGGCTATGCAAAAAACAGACTTGCTTGAGAGTGGCCCAACAGTTTGCCGAAAAACAGAAAGTGGCCTGGCAGGGGCTCTTACGTCGCCCACCTGAACGGAACACGCCCTGGCAACGCAGGAAGTGGTCCAAAAAGACCACCAGTGTAGCGGTCCGGCGGTCCTCCCAAATCACCCCAGGTATAGCAGAGGCGGGCCAAGTCTCTTTGAAGGCTCTGCCATCGCATTGCGGACACCACATCCACTTCTCTCCGCGGCAGTCCTTGCACCAGCTCCAGCCTCCAAACTCGACAAAAATCGCCTTCAAAACGACGGCATGTGTTTTGGGCGAAGCGTCGGAAACCAAAAAAAAGTCGGGAGCTTGAGAAGAGGGACAGAAAGAGGTGGTCGATGGAATTCATTCATTCCAGCCTGTTGACAGAGGATGGCCTTGGTCTGAAGATCTCATTTTGTGAAACCAGTGAACTGATTCGGAATCTTGCGGCCTATGCGGGGCATCAGTTTTGCGCAATATGATTAACCTTGCTAGATCTTGAAAACGCTCATTTGGAGAAAGTCGGGCAGGCTAACTGCTGACTCTTGATAAAGTTCCAACTGAAGTGGGTATCTGTGATGACTACTTCCATGACTACTTCCAAAAAAACTTTCTCACTGTGCCAACCCGGAGTATCGATGAGAATTTCTACCCAATTTGCCGATGTTGGAAACGATTTCTAAAACAATGGTAAAGAAGTTTCGCTCTTTGATCTATCTGAGAACAAATAAAGATGGGCATGCCGAAAAATCTGAAACCCACGCACAGCAACTGAGCATTCTGCTGAAACCACATTAGTCTAGTCTAAAGGGTCATCAGAGATCAGGCTACCATCCCTCTCATCTAAATCTACATGCGACCCTCATCCATCTTGCGACCCTCCTGTGTACCCTCTATTCATGATGATGATGAGGACTCGTCTCCGCTGCTTTCTCCGCTGACTTGGGCGCCTTGACCGTTGCACGGTTCGCAGCTCAGCTTGCCTGTCCCCGTGCACTTCCCGCACCTCGGTGCTCGTCGCAGGTCAAGTGAGGCATGCGACAGGGAGGTTTGTGGAGGCCAAAGGCCAAAGAGTACCCAAGTTGGAGGCCATCGCTAGTCGGTTTTCAGGCCTCCGGCCAGATGGTGAAGGAGAAATGGCAACAATCCGTGGTGGAGTTCGTATGGATGCCAAATGCCTTCTTCTGGGGTTGGAACAAGAAAATGTTCATCACAGGAGTGGATGCGTGTGGCTTCCAACGTCTTACGACCTTGGGACGGTGAACAATCTTGGGACGTGATGTTTCCTGCCACAATGGCCAAGGAAAGCTGGATTCTACGTTGAGGTCTACCATCACCCAAATGTTCAGGCCAAGAAGTATATAAAGTATCGCCACAAGCAGGGCTCAGTGGAGAGAGAGAGAGAGAGAGAGAAAAACTGTGGCTACTGCTATGCCAATGGCCAGCATTTTTCTGAACTGGATGACTGAATGAATGTGCGTGGCTTCTGCACCTGTAGAAACTCAAATCACAACCGCAGCAGAAAATACCTCTGTTGCTCAACAGAATTCCCTTCATGTCTGGCCTGCAAAACCAGGCTTCCTGCTTCGATATGCTCTGCATCGACCGTTGGCGAAGTGGAGTTCACCCCTGCGTTTGGTCTTCGGATTTCATGCTCAGAACCCCCGACATCCACTTCGGACGGATGCCGTGCACTTCGCGTCGTGTTAGCCCATCCACTTCGGATCCTGGAAGAGCCCGACCTTTTAGAGTGTTCTGCGCTTCTTTTTAGAGCTCTTTTTCGACGGTGGCCATCTCCGTACTTAATTAGGCAGGCGCCTACTAAGGGCAGTGGATGCAGGATAGCTCGCGCTTCAAGGAAGCTCCAACCCCGCCTGAGGGCGGAGTTAAGCTTCCTTGAAGCGCTTGCACGATTCATTTGATTCCTAGATTCATGTCTTGAATCAAAGGTGATCGTTTCGGCCAGACTCAAAGCTTTTTGGGTTTCAACCATGTTCCACTCCACTGTGGAACATTTACGTCAGTGGAGTCACTCAGTGGAGTCACAAAGGACATATCGTTGTCCGGAAGGGAAGGCACATCGGTGCTTTTCGGTCCTTTTTCCTACCACGTCTCAGGTGCAATGTGTGACGGCCCCATCTCCTCCCGTTGCATGCCCCATCGATTCCCCATTGATTCAAGACACTTGGCCACCACATCCTGAGAGGCTCGAAGGTTGAAGTTCGTGGCTCGAAACTCACCAAGTCGGCAGTGCTTCTCTAAGTCGGCAGTACTTCTCTACTGTGATCTTGGCCCCCCCCCCCCCCGGTGGCTTAAACAGAAGAGCCATCAAGCAATACAAACGCCCTGCCTTACCACCGGTCATTGTCCGAAATCACTCACTTCTCAAAGCTGCAAAAACAAAGGAAAACAAGGCTTCAACAGGCTACGATAGGCTTCGATGATACCAAACCAACACTCTCCAAGCCAAAGTCACTTCGCCACCACCATCTGTTTGAGAGGAGTTTCCTCGTCCCTTACGCCTTTGAACCTATCAGACCTGGTGAGACTCTTCATCACCCATGAACGGTGCACTCCCAGTGCGCACGGTGCATCAGCGAGCTCTGTGCCATGGAATTGGGAGGCGAGGGTTTTCTCAAGCGCAGCAATAGACGATTGTACAGTTTATTGTATGAACTTGTAAACCCAGGCAGTATCACTGGTTTACCTGTGAGTAGTTTCATCAATGAAATCATGAAACCCTCACAGTTCTCCAAGCATCTGTGTGGGGCACTGTGTAGTATTTTTTCGACTCCTCGAAGTTCTTCATCTGTTTCACTTGAATGTTCCACATGGAAGGGGCTGACCCATTCCTGAGTGAACTGCGCAAAAACTGTCCAGAGCCCCCAGAGGGTGCCTACATGATAAACAAAAAGAAACAATATTGAGATCAGCTACCTCTTCCAGAAATTTGTTGTTAACACCTATATACCTCTGTCTATTCAGTGCAGGCCTTTGAAAACCGAAAGAGTTCACCTCCAACGTCGGGGTCTTCGGCGAGTGAAACAGCGCCCCCCATAGACGAAAAGAAGCGGTAAGTGACCGATCCAGCGACATGTAGGTCCGACTGGCGCTAGAACTTGGACTGGATTTAATGGCTTACGCCTAACAGCCGGGCGCGGGCACACTAGGGTCTGTGTAGGGCTGGGTCGGGTGAGCCAAGTTGGCCCATCTATTTCTATGTTGGGCACATCTCGGGCCCATGTTGAGCCTATGTTGGGCCTATGTTGGCCTATGTTAGGCCTATGTTGGCCTATGTTGGCCTAGGCTGAGCCTATGTTGGGCCTATGTTGGCGTATGTTGGCCCCATGTTGGCCTATGTTGGCCCTATGTTGGGCCATCTTGGAGGCTATGTTGGGCATATGTTGGCTAGGCTATCTTGGGCCTAAGTTGAGGATATGTTAGGCAATATAAGTCGTCTGGAGGGCCTCTACCCACAAAATGTCGATTATGCTTCTCCGCCCAGCGCGCATTACCGACACCACTCTTGAAAAACACAGCGTTTTTGCATTTCTCCATCTTCGCCGCGTCGTGATTCGATATGCGCAATAAACCCTGGAAAACACAGTGTCTTTATACCTCACACCCACGAAACATTGAAAAAAAAAAAGGGGGGCTTCAGTGACCCGGACGTCCCCCATTTTCATGACGAGGGTCGGCGGCAGGGGAGGCGACCGTATATCCGGCCAGGGGCGTATGCCCCATCTGGCCGTGTCCTGCGTATTGCACTTCTCCTTCTGCGAAACAGAAAGCAAAGCCGACCCCTGCCGCCGACCCCAGAAAACTCAGTGTCTTTGACGTGTTTTTTTTCCGCGCTTGTTGCTCACGATGGGTCAACATAGCCCAACATAGGCCAAAATAATGTTGGAAATGCGTTCCGCACCGGTGTGCTTCGTCTGCATCGTAGGCGGATGCTGGACTAACGTAGGCCGAAGCTAGGCCAACATAGGCTCAAGCTGAGCCAACATGGGCCCAACATGGCCCAAGCTAGACGCAAGCTATGCGCAACATAGCCCCAAGACCGTGCAACAAAGGCTCCAGATGGCCTAAGCTAGACCCAAGCTGTGCGCAAC